AGTTTTTGAAAAGTAGGTCACACTGCAAGGTCAAAGTCAAAGTTCTTGGTATCCAATGAAATGTCTTCTCACATATGTGAAGTATAAAAGCCCTAGCCCTTACCATTCAAAAGTAATGATCAAAGTTAAAGTTTTCCATAAGTGTGGAAATCTCCAAGGTCAAGGTCAAAAGGTCAAAGCTGTTGGTATCCAATGAAAGGTCTTGCCACAAAGAATACTTATGTGAAATATGAAAGTCCTAGCATCTACCGTTCAAAAGTTGTCACCAAGGTCAAAGTTTTTGAGAAGAAGGTTCAAACTCCAAGATCAAGGTCAAAGGGTTAAAGTTCTTGGTATCCAATGAAAGGTCTTCTTACAAGGATTACATATGTGAAGTGTGAAAGCCTTACCTTTCAAAAGTTATAGTCAAGGTAAAAGTTTTTCATAAGTACGGAAATCTCCAACATTAAGGTCAAAAGGCCAAAGTTGTTGGTATCCAATAAAAGGTCTTGCCATAAAGAATACATATGTGAAATATGAAAGTCCTAGTTTCTATCATTCAAAAGATATGGCCAGATTAAAAGTTTGTAATTTTTGTGTAAAAGTGGGTCAAATTCCAAGTTCAAGGTCAAAAGGTCAAATTTGGTGGTATCCAAAGAAAGGTCTTTCCACAAGGAATACACGTGTGAAATATGAAAGACATAGCTCCACTAAATCAAAAGTAATGGGCAAGGTTAAAGTTTTTGTAACGGACTAACAGACTGACGGACAGACGAATGAGATTTAATGTCCCCTCTGTTACATAACGCACTTTGAAAAATTACGCACTTTGAAAAAATTTTTCAAAGTGCGTTAAATTTGGGACCATTTTTGCTATAACGCACTTTGAAAAAATTAATTTTTTTCAAAGTGCGTTGATATCGACCATATTGACGCACTTTGAAAAAAAATGTAGATTGATCAATATTCTTACAAATAATCGGAATGATAAATAACAGATCCTGAATGGATGACTTTTTTATGATGAAGTCACTTCAGGACCTGAGAAGTTGACGTTTTAAATATTTGAGGTTTTGATAAAATAAAAGGGAAAAGGGTCTTGAAAAAAAGAGTGACGATTGTTTAAGATCATTAATTTTTTTTTCCTTTAAATTCTAGTCTTTGATAAGTATATATAAAGATGTAAAGGGGGCACTAACAGTGGACAGCTTAAAGCAACTTAGCATTTATCATAATAGAAAAATATTGTTCAAAACAATGAAAATTCTTTCTCTCTCATACGTTTTACTGTACTTCAATATTTCTAGTTTTCACCTGTTTTAATTAACTCATTTAATATTTAAAGTTTTCAACATCATACCAGTTAGGTAAATACGAGGGTTGATCCAAAAGTTCATGGAATTTCTTCATATTTTATTTATTTTTAAGTGGAATTGGTTGAAAATTACAAATGAAAATATAGACACTTGATGAATTTTTTAACTTAAAAAACTTTTTAAATATCTCTGATAGTAACTTTATGGCAGTTGCCATAGAAACGGTTGTTTGGAAATGCGGGGGAGACATTTACGGGTTTATTATCATTTTAATTCTTAATGTGTGAAATAAGAATTAAACCGCCCTATGTGGTATATAAAACAAAACTATGTCATTATTACGATTGCTTGATCTTTTTAACCTTTGTGTGAGATATATTATGATATTTAGTTTATAAGTTGATGATTTATTGTTCATCTTTAAGTTGTTTAAGACAACGTCAAATTTCGGTCAATTTACATGTTTCGTGAAAATCTCGGGATTACTCTATCTTAAATGCGTATATTATTGACGTAGGCTTGGGAAAAATGCATTTAGTTACTGGTTTTCGAATGGCATAAGAAATTTAAGGAAAACAGAACTTCCATTGGACGTTGATAAAAGGTGTGGTCACTTTTTAGAGGCTTTGTTTAAGTACGTATTCCCCTAGACAAATTGAAAGCGTTAATGGACGTTGTCGCCTGGCCTACTGTTCTTGACAATGCTACTGAAATTGGAACATTATATGGAAAGATGGGTAGTATTTTTTGTAAAAAAAATGGTGCGAGAGGATACAGCAGGCTTTTTTAGAAAAAAAAATGGAGAAAAAAGCATTTTGTAGAATTACGTATTCAAATTGGAATTTGGGCGAGATGCTTCTATAACGTGACGTGACATATCTAACTTGACGTTATACGGGTTTCCCAACTATCCATTTTCAGAAAGCTCGTGTGACCTTATTGGTAATTGGAATGCGGTGAAATTTTCCGATATTGTTGCATTATGACTCTATATTATGAATATGCCTGTTGATTGATTTTATCGAATCACGATAAAATTTTAGAAAGAAATTCCACGAACTTTTGGATCAACCCTCGTACATAATTATATAAATTACATAATTATATAAATGTTTTGAGTATAGCATAGACATCGAGACCAGGCAATGGGCCAGGGGAGGAGGGGCTTAGCCCCCCACTTATTCTGGAAAATATATATATACATCGCATAAGCATTGAAAATGCAGCTTACCCTTTTGGGGTTTATTGCTCCCCTCCCCCGTTTGTTACCGACACCTATGTATTCAAAAGATAAAGATTTGGACTGAGGGATCTTACACCTGTCTTCTCCTTTTTTCGACGGGAGTTAATCAATTAATAAATAATCAATAAGTTTCAAAGTGCGTTAAGTGTCTTCATGGTAAAATATATTGATGTAGACTCTTAACGCACTTTGAAAAAAATTTTTTCAAAGTGCGTTGAGCCAAATTTAACGCACTTTGAAAAAATTTTTCAAAGTGCGTTGATTTTGTCCCAATTTTAACGCACTTTGAAAAATTTTTTCAAAGTGCATAATTCTTTCAAAGTGCGTTGCCACACCCCCTCGCTTTGGTGAAAGCGGGGGACAAAAAAATAAATATGATAATTATGAATATAAACAGAAGAGAGTTTCACCTCATTGCAGCAGACAGATTATTGTAGTCTTTTATTCTAATGCAATTATTTTGTAAAACACCTTTTGATTGGCTAACGCACTGATTTTTGAAGCAGTAAAACGAACATTAACGTGAGTGAAAGCTTTTCATTGTGACGTCATAATAGAGCGACGCAAAAAACAATGCTCCGTGACGTATTTTATATAAAGAAAATCAGCAAAATAAGAAGTAAACAACAAACTAAATGCATGGGTTGCATTTTTGTCTCTAATTTTATTTCAATAATTGATTTAACGGTCGCAAACATTCGTTAAACCAGCATTAAAGGTCACAAATACAAAATTAGACATCTTGGATAATACATGTAGCACAAAAGGAAACCTGTACTTTTAGTCAATTAAAAATATTTCATAATCTTTTACTAGTAGTTTCAAAATGATGGTAATTCAAACATTTTTTTTGTGTCATTGATAAAATCTGGAACTAAATCAAGGACAATTTAATCGTAATTTTGCATGGATGATTGTGAATTAATTTATAAGGGAGAATTGCAGCTTATCAATGTCTTATTTAACTGAGATATATTATGTAATATTTCCTGTTTATTATACTGTACATATCTTTTCTTCACTGTTTTGTCAGTTATGAGAATAAAGTTCAAGAGATTTAAAATTAGATGACTATTTATTCCAAAATACTTGACCAAAGAAAGATAACTCTAAAGGACTGTTGATTTTTGTTTGGATACAGCAAGTTTTAGATAAAATTTTGTATTTATTTAGACTTTAAGTGTCACAATATACTACATCAAAAGGGAAAAAAGAAATATTTTTATATATCATAAAGGCTCAATCTCTAAAACTTAAAATCAATGAATCAGATATTGGAATATAAACCATGTAAAATGGGAGCTAGGAATTAATTCATGTATTTTTGATAAGTTTTTGTAGTAAAAGCTGAGGAGGGGGAACGGTGTGTTTTACCATTAATTAATCAGTTGCCTTCCAGGCTAGGAGAGCCTAATTATTTAATTCTCATGAAAAATTCAGCCAATACAGTATGCCATTTTTCAAAGTGTTTTCATTTACATTTAAGGACCCTCTCTACACAAGTGCAAAATTTTTCTTGGACATTGAGAAAAATATATTGTATAAAAGAGTTAATATTGTGCTTATTTATTTAATTTTCACAGTCCCCTGGCATTTACCCGCGGGAAAAATGTTCAAAGACAACACAGTGTCAGTGAATAGAAATCACTGTTAGTATAGAGAAAATACATGTAAATAAAACATTCAGTTAATTTATCTTGGCTTTTTAAAATGTTAAGAATACTTGAATCAATTACAAATTGAGCAATATATTGTAAATTTCTATTTTTTAGAATTAAGATCTAAGGGCAGATCACTCTAACTGCAGAAAATTACCTTAGAATCAGCTACTCAAGAACTCTTTAGTGTGCAGTGTAGAGAGGGTTCTTAAATTGAACTTTGACAGAGCCCAATAAGGTCTATGATAAATGTAAAAATATTGCATATATTTATTTGCCTTTAATGATTCTAAAAGTATATACTTCATGTAGTGAGAAATGTGTTTTTGCCACAGAATTTAAATCATAAAATTATTTTGTCTTTATTTCACTTTATTGTAGATATATAGTTGACAGTAGACATGGATATTAGGTAGTGTAGATATTAAATTGTTAAAATCATGACCCCCGGGGGTAGGGCGGGGCCACAATAGGGAATCCAATTTATACATAGAAATATACAGAACGAATCTTTAAAAATCTTCTTCTCAAGAATCACTAGGCCTGGAAAGCTGAAACTTATGTGGAAGCATCCTTGGGTAGTGTAGATATTAAATTGTTAAAATCATGACCCCCGGGGGTAGGGTGGGGCCACAATAGGGAATCCATGTTTTACATAGAAATATATAGAACAAATCTTTAAAAGTCTTCTTCTCAAGAAACACTCTCAGAGAGGCCTATTTAATGGAAGCATCCTGGGGTAGTGGAGCTAACAGTTTTAAAATCATAAAAGGTAAGGGGGTAGTGGGGCATTTTTAACTTGGGATGACCTCTTTGCATCACCCAAGTTACTCAGGTGAGCGATGTGGCCCATGGGCCTCTTGTTTGGGGTATACCAGGACATCAACGATAGTTGGAAATATGAAAAAATTTGCAGAATGGGCAAATGTTGACTCCACAGAATTTATTTGTGCATGCATGGTTCAAATTCATTGTAAAATATAAAAGTAGTTGCATAAAGATTTAGGGTATTTTTTTCCCAAGATGTAAGCAATCCTACATCTCATCAACAGGTCCAGGGGTAGCAATGTACCGGGTAATGTGTCTTGACTGGGTTGAACATGCACTTAGTCAGATCTCTCTATTTTTTTTATTTTCAGATGATGAAGTTGATCTCCAGACAAAGATAATGAACTGTAATGTGTGGTTCTTTATTGCTGTGGTGTGTTTCGTGGTGGGCATGGTTGGACTGGTGGTCATTATTATCTTACATCACAAGGACCAGGAACCACTTTACAGTGTATGTAGATTTGTATGCTAGAAAAAACAAACATCTCTCAATGGTATTACATTATGTTACAGGGTGAGCTGTTAGATGGCTAGGGGTCAAGGAATCCTCCAGGTCAACAGCAGGTCAAGGACAGTGTCTTTTGACCAGTAGAGGAAATGGGGCAAAGTCCAAGTTAACTCCTGAAAATTAATAATAAAAGAACCTTATTTTAACAAAAATTTAACTTTAATTTATCTATTCATCGATCTAGGGTATTGAAAACTATAGATGTATTTTGAAATTTTTTTGCTGTTTGAGGGGGCTTGTGCCAGGAGTGCCCCTACCTGAATATATACACCTGTATAAACCTCTATTTATAAGTAGATAACCTGATAACAAAGTCATACAATTCCCTGATTTCAGTGTTCCCTGTCAAAAAAAAAGGAATTGTATTATTTAACTATTCCTCTAGAGTAATACATGTATTGCATACTAAAGACCATTTTCTATCAAACTTCATCTCTAATTTTTTAGTGTTTGTTGTTTTGTATAAAGTTGTTATTTAGATGCTGATTTAACTCTGATTTAACTCTGTCGTGTGACATTTAGTATGGAGTTGTACTAGATGCCGGTTCCTCTCATACCAAACTGTTTGTCTACAAGTGGAATACCAAATGTCACCAGCAGACGGCATTAGCCAATCAGATTCATTCCTGCAAAGTTACAGGTAAAATAAAGTTGTAAACACTGAGACATAAAACTAAATATTGTATTATATACAGTATATACAGTCAGTCATTCTATCATAGTTAGTTTTCCAGACTTTTGTTATGTGTTTAGTTAAGTTTTGATGTGTGACTCTATATGGCTTGCTCACAGATCAACTTCAAGTTTTATTTTGATTGACCTATTGTAAAACCATCTTTTATTTGTGTGCGAGAAATATGTGCAAGTTTTGCAACTTACTTTAACTCCGGAATATTAAGGGGAGACAAGGCACATGTCTCATGACTAAAAAGACAGATTGCGCGTCAAAGTCGATGCTGATATACAAATAACATGTTAAACATTGTTGAAATCAACAGTTCTTGTGTAATTTTATTCTAAAATTGTTTTGTAAACATTAAATTTTAGAAATTAATATTCAAAATTTTTAAAGATCTTGTCAACATTTAAGTATTGTGAAATTGCCAAATCCACACATTCATTTCTCTTTACCCAGCAGTCTGCCTTGAAAAATGCAGAAATTATCCCACCCAAATACTTTATGAAATTAAAACAAATGCTTTCAGATAATTTAAACAGTTACACTATGAATATTCTGAAATATTTGAGTATACGTTTAGAGTTATCTAACATATAAGTCTAGAAATCTCATGACAGGACCGTTTTAAAATGTTAAGTACCATATTAAATTAGTAATATGAAAAATACAAAAAAAATTCATTGACAGGAATTTTTTCAGCTAAAGGTCCTCCTTAATGGCCACCAACAAATTATATTTTGTATTTGTAGAGAGTGTTTCTTCGGTGGCAAAAAAATAATAGTCGGGGATTGATTTCAAACTTATAGATCATGAATAAAATGATGCCGCCAATAATAGTTAGTTAACAGTATTCATAACACAATTGTTATTACCCTTAGACTAAGAAGACTTCTAATTGTTGACTGTTTTCCAGGGTTTGACTGAAGCACCACCACCTGACAACATTCAGGTGAACCTTCCACATCTCCGGTGGTCCTTCAAAATCACTCTCAAGAAAAAAAAAAAAAACTCTTCTGTAAACTATTCTGTTATTCATCTAAAACTCTCTTGCTTTATAAAGCATATTCTGCCTCTCTGTTGGAATCATGTTCTTTCAGCTTCGTACTGTTTCTGTGCTCTTCTATCTTTGATGGAGAGGTAGAAATAAGGGGTCTTAAGTCCCAACTCAGTTTGCATCATCATTGAACTGTTTTCCAGACTTTTTTTCCCTGTGCCCATTGATACTGATTTAATTTTTAGCTCTACTTGTCAGAGACCAGAAGAGCTTATGCGATATATATTGATGATTTGTCTTATTGTCTGTAAACAATTTTTCAAAACGCTACTCCTCCTACAATTTTAGTCTGATTTAAATATTACTTGGCACACAAGTAGACTACACTAAGATACATAGAATAGTGCATCGGTTTTTAATTTCGTTGAACGATGTTGCCATGGTTACTAAAAATAGAATTCTCTGTGAAATTCCTTTAAAACACTATCCTTCTACAGTTTTGGTCTGATTTCAGTATAACTTGGCACACAAGTAGACTACACTAAGATACATAGAATAGTGCATCAGTTTTTAATTTTGATGTTCGGTGTTGCCATGGTTACTAAAAATAGAATTTTCTGTGAAATTCCTTAAAAACGCTACTCCTTCTACAGTTTTGGTCTGATTTCAATATAACTTGGCACACAAGTAGACTACACTAAGATACATAGAATAGTGCATCGGTTTTTGATTTCAATGAACGGTGTTACCATGGTTACTAAAACTAGAATTCCCTGTGAAATTCCTTTAAAACACTACTCCTTCTACAGTTTTTGTCTGATTTCAATATAACTTGGCACACAAGTAGACTACACTAAGATACATAGAATAGTGCATCGGTTTTTAATTTTGATGTTCGGTGTTGCCATGGTTACAAAAATAGAATTTTCTGTGAAATTCCTTAAAAACGCTACTCCTTCTACAGTTTTTGTCTGATTTCAATATAACTTGGCACACAAGTAGACTACACTAAGATACATAGAATAGTGCATCGATTTTTGATTTCGATGAACGGTGTTACCATGGTTACTAAAACTAGAATTCTCTGTGAAATTCCTTTAAAACAGTACTCCTTCTACAGTTTTGGTCTGATTTCAATATAACTTGGCACACAAGTAGACTACACTAAGATACATAGAATAGTGCATCGGTTTTTAATTTTGATGTTCGGTGTTGCCATGGTTACTAAAAATAGAATTTTCTGTGAAATTCCTTAAAAACGCTACTCCTTCTACAGTTTTGGTCTGATTTCAATATAACTTGGCACACAAGTAGACTAAACTAAGACACATAGAATAGTGCATCGGTTTTTGATTTCGATGAACGGTGTTACCATGGTTACTAAAACTAGAATTCTCTGTGAAATTCCTTTAAAACACTACTCCTTCTGATTGTCTGATTTCAATATAACTTGGCACACAAGTAGACTACACTAAGATACATAGAATACTGCATCGGTTTTTGATTTCGGTGAACGGTGTTACCATGGTTACTAAAACTAGAATTTTCTGTGAAATTCCTATAAAACTCTACTCCTTCTACAGTTTTGGTCTGATTTCAATATAACTTGGCACACAAGTAGACTACACAAAGATCATTAGAATACTTCATCGATTTTTGATTTCGATGAACGGTGTTGCCATGGTTACTAAAATAGAATTCTCTGTGAAATTTCTTTAAAATGCTACTCCTTCTACAGTTTTGGTCTGATTTCAATATAACTTGGCACACAAGTAGACTACACTAAGATACATAGAATAGTGCATCGATTTTTGATTGCGATGAACGGTGTTACCATGGTTACTAAAAATAGAATTTTCTGTAAAATTCCTTTAAAACTCTACTCCTTCTACAGTTTTAGTTTGATTTCAAAATAAGTTGGCACACAAGTAGACTACACAAAGATACATAAAATAGTGCAATGGTTTTTGATAAGTACAAACCAGTAGAGCTACAGTCTCGACAGAGACTTCTGGTTAGTATTTGTCTTTATATTGATGAATTACTTATTATTGATTATGCTCAAGTTTTATATTAATTAGGGCCCCGCAAGGATTTGCGGGTGCCCTATAGTAATCACTCTGTCTGTCCGTCCGTCTGTCTGTCTGTCCGTCTGTCACTCTTCCGTCCACAAATTTTCTGTTTTTTTCTAATAACTTTTTTTATGGTTGCCCAATCAAGTTTAAATTTGGTATGGTAGTTTAATAGGCAGAAATACATATTTTGATGCTAAGTTTGATTCTCTATGTCTTCTAGTTTGGAGCTGGGGTGGTGGGGTAGATTCCTTAACTATGCATAAGAAAACGGGCAACTTTTTTTATGGTTGCCCAATTAAGATCAAATTTGGTACGGTAGTTCAGTAGGCAAAAATACATATTTTGATGCTAAGTTTGGTTCTCTATGTCCCTTGGTTTGGAGCTGGGGTGGTGGGGTAGATTCCTTAACTTTATATAAGAATGCATTGGCAAAGAGAGATAACTGCTGAAGATGTTCCCATTCAGTAAACTAAATGCTACTAGGAGTCCCATGGGATTAATTAGCTTTCCTCCTGAAGAAAATCCAGAGCATTATCTTTATCTGTCACATTGAGATTAATTACCACCTCTGTCTGCAAATGAAGTTTGTTTTGAAGTTAAATCAGTTTGGAATGCTATGAACACTCTGAAATGTGGATTTAAATATAAATTTTTATTATTTATTTTTGTTTGATTATTAGTTATGATTTCATTGAATCCTAAAAAAAGAAATAGATTAAAGAAGATTTTTTGATTTACCAGGGTAGTTTTTTTTCACTTTTTTCCTTTTTTTTTTTTAAATATATTAATTCAAGAATGTTTTTAATTTTTAATGTAGTTGTATAAAAACCCCATTCTATCATTAATACTGAAAAAGTTCTTATTGTAACTTTAGAAGAAAATGATGAGAGAGGTACAATTAATCCCTTGGGATTAATTATCTAGCCTGCTGCAGAAAATTTAGTAGGCTTCTCTTTATCTGTCACTTTAAGATTAATGAAAACCTTTGTCTGCAACTGCTGTTTGTTTGAAGTTAAGGTCAAGCCTTCATGATATTTGCATTCATTGAAGGCTGGCATTTTATATAACACAAGATTCATAATTGTTTAAAAATAAATTCAATGTTAAGTTGTTCTTTACTGCCTAATGTAAATACAAGAATATTATTTTCAGGTTTTTGAATATTCAGGAATTATGTTGAAATTTTAAGAATACAGTTGCTGTTGCTTTTTCTTTGTACATTTATTAATCATTCTGTAAGCTGTACCCTTTTAATTCTACCCAATGGCGGGGCCCTTGCTGACTGGTCAGTTTTCTAGTTGCTCCATTTTCACAAAAGTAATTATTATTAAGACTGAAATTTCTAATTTTCCACTCTTTGCTAGATTTTTTGGACTTCTGAGTGACTGCTTTCTATTTTTGCCTGTCTTAGTCCATCGTGCATTGGTCATAAACTTTTGAACATTTTCAGCTTCTTCTCTTGAATCCTTTAACCGATTTCAACCAATTTTAGCATACAGCACTAATTGGTGAAGGGGTACAATAATTTTGAATGGTCCTTGCTTCTTTGGCCTAGAGATAAAAAAAAAAACCCATCAGAATTAGTGCTATCTTTAAAAATCTTCTTGTTGACTCTTAGACATAAAGCAGATGAAACTGTTTGTAATAATCATTGAGTCCTCTGACAAAATTGTAAAATTCAAGACCCCAGGTCCAGGGGTTCTGGTGCTAAGGCAGGGCTATGTAGATCAAAGTGCATTATTTCTTTGAAAATCTTCTTCTTAAGTGCTCCTGGGTGTTAAATGAATTATCGAGTGCATAGTTATGATGACCAAAGGTACATGGTTATAATAGGCAAGGGTACCTCTTTCAAATTTTGAATTAAAAGCATAGAAACCAAGTACATAGTTCTGATGAGCAAGAGTGCTTCTCCAATGTTGTGAGTTTCATGCCCCCTTAATTAAGCAGAGAAAATGCGGTTAATCATGTTTTTAACACAGATTTCAGATTTGGATTCTGGGAAAGTTGTGAAAAATGAGACATCTTTTTTTTAATAATTCAGGAGGAGGGATCTCTAGTTATGAAAATAACCCTTCTGCTTTGAGGCCTCCTCTAGAAGTGTGTCTGAGAGAGGCGGAGGGGGTGGTTCCCGATGACAAACAAAGCAAAACCCCAGTGTTTCTAGGGGCCACAGCAGGGATGAGGCTTATACAGTAAGTGCCAATTTTAAAATTTTCCTAAACTAAGAGCTGTTTAATGATCAGTCTTCTTGACTATTAACTAAACATTGACAATTTCAAATTGATCTCATCAGTAAAATATTTATTACTTACAAGTCAAATCTGAGTTCTGCTGGGTTCATATAAATATTTAAATATCAATTAATTTGACAATTCAAAGATATGCATAGTACAATTATTTTAGACTATAAAAGGGGAGAGTAACTCTCACTGTTCTTATTTACTCCGAAGTTTTTAAACCCTTTACAGCGCTGTGAACTCCTCAGTGTCGGATGCCATTATGGATGTGGTCCGTGACACCATTCAGTCCTCCAAGTTCCAGTTTACCAACCCTAAGACACAGGCCCGGATCCTTACAGGGTCTGAGGAGGGGCTCTTCTCCTGGATCACAGCCAACTACATCCTGGGAAAGTTTGGTGTGGTAAGTAGGGGGGGGGGGGGGGGCTCTTCTCCTGGATCACAGCCAACTACATCCTGGGAATGTTTGGTGTGGTAAGTAGGGGGGAGGGGGGGGGGCTCTTCTCCTGGATCACAGCTAACTACATCCTGGGAAAGTTTGGTGTGGTAAGTAGGGGGGAGGGGGGGGGGCTCTTCTCCTGGATCACAGCCAACTACATCCTGGGAATGTTTGGTGTGGTAAGTAGGGGGGAGGGGGGGCTCTTCTCCTGGATCACAGCCAACTACATCCTGGGAAAGTTTGGTGTGGTAAGTAGGGGGGAGGGGGGGCTCTTCTCCTGGATCACAGCCAACTACATCCTGGGAAAGTTTGGTGTGGTAAGTAGGGGGGAGGGGGGGGGGCTCTTCTCCTGGATCACAGCTAACTACATCCTGGGAAAGTTTGGTGTGGTAAGTAGGCGGAGGAGGGGGGGGGGGGCTCTTCTCATGGATCACAGCTAACTACAGATAAGATAAGATTTATTAATACCAATTTGGGGCCCATCAGGGCATACAAGTAATAAGAAAAATATACAAGAAGAAATTCAAAATTGATAGTAGCAACTAACAAAAGATAAATGATGATACAGCAGTTGGGGATTGCAACATATATAATCAACATACTGTAAATATAAAGCTTCTTTTTTTTTTTTTTTCTTTTTTTTTTTTTTAACTAGAGTATAAACATTATTTCTCTTTTTTATTTATTTGTTTCTTTGTTTAACATTGCATAATTTGCTATTTCTTATTTTAAAGATATTGATTAAAAAATTACCCAGCTTGATAAGCAACATGTCATTTTCATTAGACATAATCCATAAAAATTTTCTTTATTTGTTAAAGTATAGAAATTTTTATTACTTTTAGCAATAATAGTAAAAAAGTCATCTCTATCATGTTTATATAATGGACATTCAATCAGTGAGTGTATCTCATCTTCCACATCCTGGGAAAGTTTGGTGTGGTAAGTAGGGGGGGGGGGCTCTTCTCCTCGATCACAGCTAACTACATCCTGGGAAAGTTTGATGTGGTAAGTGGGGGGGGGGGCTCTTCTCCTGCATCACAGCTAATTACATCCTGGAAAAGTTTGGTGTAGTAAGTACAGAGGGAGACGGGGGTGGGGAGGGGGGCTCTTCTCCTGGATCACAGCTAACTACATCCTGGGAAAGTTTGGTGTGGTAAGTAGGGGGGAGGGGGGCTCTTCTCCTGAATCACAGCTAACTACATCCTGGGAAAGTTTGGTGTGGTAAGTAGGGGGGAGGGGGGCTCTTCTCCTGGATCACATCTAACTATGTCCTGGCAAAGTTTGGTGTGGTAAGGAGGGTGGGGGTTTCCAATCTTATAATTGTAACAAATTTAAAAATTGGAAGGCTTGGACCTGTTTTACAAGGAGAACCAACTACTAAGACTAAAAACTTAACTTATCATAAATCTTGCAAAACTTTTTTTGCGGGATTTTATTTTGTGCAAAACACCGGGATCCAACTCTCATAGCTTAAGTGCACTCATCCTTTTCGGGGGGGGGGGGGGGGGGGGGGGGGGGTTAATTTTTCGGTGTTTTCAAGGTATGAAGAGATCCACGAATTCATGTCCACCACGAAATGTAAACTGTTTCATACATAACTATTCAACAAATCTTCATCCACGAATCCAAATCCCCACGAACAAAGAGTTTTTACTCAAACCATGAAAATTTGACCCCACGAAAATATGTGAATTACAGTAATATATTATAATTATATTATATACAAATGTATCTAGAAAAATAGTAGAATAATATTAATTTATGTTAATTTAAAGTGATTTTGCAGGATTTAAAATGCATTTTTCTGTGTTACTGGATAAATGATTTTTTCCTTGTAAGCACACTGTAAATTGCAAAACTTTCAAAAGGAAAGCAAAAAGATGTATGCATGTTGCTTATAATTAACATTTAACTAGCAGTTTTTATTAATGTAATTTTTTTCTGTTACACACAGATACCACCCACAGAAGTATCACAGTCCCGACATAAGAGAGATTTATCGGGGGCAGGGGAGGGAACTGTGGGGGCATTAGACATGGGAGGGGCATCAACTCAAATTACCTTCTACCCCGGCTCCTCAGTCAAAATGCCAGATAATTTCACCGGGAATGCTGTGCTTTATGAGAAAAATTACACCGTCTATACTCAGAGTTACCTGTGTTACGGCATCAATGAAATCAAGCGGAGATATCAAGCATTACTGGTCAAGGTAGGTGATGCATGGCAAATCAGATCAAAATTCAGTGTACTGTATACAGGGAAATGTTCGCCCCCATTTTATCTTTGCCCCTTTCACCCTATCCTTATTTTGGCGAATTTAAAATGGGGCAAATTCAAAGAATACAGTATAATTTCTGAAACAAAACTATGACTGGGCTAAATTAAGATGGGGCTAAATTGATTTCAAGTATGAAAAGGTGAAAATAACACAGGGCCAAAATAACCTTGCATACAATATGTTCAGTAAAAATAATATTAAAAGTGATAAAGATCGATACTTGAATCCTACAGAATTGAATACATTCATTTAAATTGATTACATAAAAGTCATTCAATGTAATTTCAATTTCATGCAGATGCGCGTATGAATGGTCAGCATTATTCTGTCTTGGTGGTCTTCTGATAAATTGGGTGCTTTTTTGTAGTCCTTAGTTCATTTTTAGGCTTGCACTTTAAAACTAAACTTTGCTTTGTATCATATTATAGAGCCAGAACTTCACCCTGGATATTGTCAATCCCTGTGGACCCCAAGGAAAAACAATAACTGAACATTATTCTGATGTTTTTGAGGCACCATGTACAAGAGATTCATCTGAAAAACCTGTTAGCAAGGTTTGTCTTTCTTGTAATATTCTATAAAGGGGCAAGGGGGCTGAATCATAAGGTACAACCCTCCCCAGATCACAAAAGAGAAATATAGGTTCATTTTTCATACATTTATCTTCATTTGCAAGTTAATTGCTTAACTTGTCTAGTACTATTCAGCTCCTTTTTGAGTCGGCTTGCGAAGCGAGATGAATCCTTGTCGTTAGCGGCATATCAAAGCGGATTCACCAAATCACTACATTCTTTGTGTATTCCTACATTGGTTGCAAACAAATCCTGTGAATTAATACCTTGAAGTCGTAAAGAAATAATTTTTTGAGTGAGTTGAATTTTGGATTGTGTTGAAATATTGTTAACGATTCTATATTTAAGTATTTTTAAAACTTTTATTTCGGAATTTAAAAATAAAACATTGTGTACATGACACAAGCATGAATATATGCCAAGTGCACATTTTAGGGGTTTTTCTCAAAGTACATAAAGGTATCACATCTAGAAACCCTGTAAAACTTAATACACATCCTGCCTCGGAGTATTTGAAAGTGATTTTGTATGAAAATGGTGAAAGGAAAGAGAATATTTAGAATTAATTTTATGAAAATCTTCCCCATAAAACCGATTTCTATACTCTCGCATAATTATTTTACGAACGACTTGATGTTAATATTGAATCACTTGACATTTTCCGCGGGAAGCTGTACATGTAAACAAGACAACAATCGACGGAGGTGCGTACACATTTATGGAGACAATCAGCAAGAGTTGCAAGAGTAAGTCATTGTTTTTTTTATTATCTCTTGTGCAAATTATTGTATTTAGTATTGATTGACAACGGTCGTTTATTGTTTGCTATTCCTGCATATATATTCGCTTCATGTGTACACTGTACTGTAGTGCAAAACCTGATACGTTTATAGTACGTAACGCTCATTTAAATTACTCTGTGTACTACGGGAATTTTAATTTTTTAGAATACACATATTTAGGGGATGAATTACATACGATGCGCATAACTGTGTACAAACAGGTCCTATACAGCCGCTGTTTAGTGTTATGTTTTGTAAGTTTAACTCCCAGAAGTGAAAGTAGTTCCGGTTCTATGAAGTTTTGTAATATTGCACACGATTCTCTTCGGAGAAGCATCTTGGAGATAAGCATGTTTACAGAGTCTACAAAAAATAATCTTGACAATTGACTTTGGAGTATTTGACTTTGGAGTTTAGACTTGGAGACAGAGAATAAATATCAACATCTTGAATATGAACCCATTTTGTACCATTGACGATTTTTGTTGTTATTTGAAAATTTATAACTTTTTTTGACTAAGTAATAAAAAATGGGTGTAGACTAAGCACATGGAAATGTAGAATTGGGTGTTATTTCGGGATCCATAATTCCACCAAAAAATTGATCCATTCGTTTCAGTTACTGAAAACAAATGGTTGAGTTTCAATGTACTCAATCACTGAGACATTTTATGGCTCTCGTATAATCATCGTGATTTTGATATTTCTTAATTTTGGGTATGTGTTCCTAGTGATGCAAATTATACATCATGGTAAGTTAATGTTTTGATATAATATATCATTGAAGATCTTTATATGTGTTATTATGAGAAATTATATCGTATTCATCTAAAATTCTGTTTGTTGTCATTTCAGATGCCTACACTGGAAGGTTTGTTTAAGAGCAAAAGAGAAGGTCCATATGTGACCCCTGTATTTATGAAAGTCCGTGCTGTTGCTGAAGAGAAAACATATACAATGCTAATGATGAGGAAAAGAAATATGTGATAATGGGAATTGCAGACAAGACAATGAGTGCAAAGTGCATCCTTTAACATGTCAAAACTAAAAGACCTAAGAGAGGGAAATTCTGTTACGTTACTGAACGTCATTGTGAAGGACAGTAAAAGTCTCACCTTGACATCCAAGTCAAGAGTCTTCAAAATTTAGAAGTAGAGGTTTCTGCTGAGAAAGAAACTGCAGCAAAGGGAGTCAGCTTTGGGGTTAAATTGTTTTCCAATACAAGAGATCAACACTTTGTTTGTTTTTTTCATTTTTTTCCCTTAGCTGTTTATGTCTTACTTTACTTTTAGATAGGTTACAACTAAAACTGAGATTGAGTACTGATTTGTTGCTTAAATGTGCATTTCTGTTTCACAGACAAAATGTTTCAAAGTTTTATGTATTAAAGAACAATAGGAAAAGCTAAAAAGTACTTTGCTTAGTATGCAGAAGAGTTTTGTGAAATTTGTGCATGAAGCAAGATATCTTTTTTTCATAGCTACCACCCTCGTAGTCAGTATCCACAGTGTCAAATACTCTTAGACTCTAGTCAAACAACTTTTTGATGTTCTACTGTTTTCTTGTCAAAAATGTTCAAGTTTGCTGCTGAACAGAATCTTGAGACATGATGTTTTTGGATGTTTCCCTTTTTTTAATGAGAATATTTTGCAGGTCATTAGGAAGTAGATTCCATGTGCAGTGATTTGATTTATACATTTATATATACATACATGTTTTCTACTTCTTGTGATTATGTTGGTAGAAAGAATACATTTTTACAACACATACATACCCTTTAATAATAGTGCATGAACAAGAGGCTTTGTATATTGAGTAATTTTGTGTGTGTGTGTCCTTAGTTTTTTTTCACTTTTGACTTTTAAATACATTTCTACTGTACATGTGTTTATGTTGTATTCAGTGACAACAATTACCCTATTCTATTAAGAATTTTCATCCCCTTTTGATGTATCAGTGGAACCCATTTTCTCATTGTCTTTTAGTTGACTTTTAAACATGAAAACACTTTGCAATTCTCAAATACTTGTATCAACTTTGTCCAGGATTTTAAAATTTTTTTACCAGTAAATAGCCAGTAAGTTCTCTGGGAATAATTGTTCATAAGGGATAGTCTCATCTATTTTAATTTTTCACTGCAGAAGTGCATGTTGAGTCATGGGTTTCTTAAATTTTTCTGGCTTTTGTGTTTTTTGTTTTTTTTTGTAAATAAAATATTTTGTAAGTAATTAGAATGTACCTTTTATGTGTCGGAGATGGATGTACTGACTGTGGACAAAAGTATCGGAACGAATTACGTTAGTTTATATGTTGATGCAAATGTTCGCGTTATTTATAGCTGGCATTTTCGGTGTAGACACGATTTGATGCTACACCTTGGGTATTTTTAGATTGATGACTACTTCCTGTTTACATTAACTACGTCATTATTCATCGTCTGCAATCAAAAGTAAGTAAATCTGTCCCCAAAATCATGGCTGAGAATCGTCTTACGCATCAGATGGTCTTAAAAAATCCATTGTTTTATTACTTCAGAATGGAAATTCTTTTCAAAAAGTTGCAGATATGCTTAAAATGTCTAAAACAACTGTGCACCGGATTTATAGAATTTTTTGTGAACGAGGAACTGTAAAAACTGCCCCGAAAACAGGTCAGAAAAAAGTTTGAGCGATCGTGACGGGAGAAAAATTTTGCGAAAAGTGAAAACTAACAGGAAAACTCCGCTGGCTGATTTGACAGAAACATTCAACAACAATGAAAACAGAAATGTGTCTAAAAAGACAGTGTGGCGATTTTTGAAGAATCAAAAATATCATCGCTGTGTTTGTAAGAAAAAAATAAGGATATCCCCTGTAAACAGACAGAGGAGAGTAGCATGGTGTCGTGAAAAATCAACATGGACAGACGATGACTGGAAAAAGGTAATTTTTTCAGACGAGAGCCAAGTTGTTATTGGCAGTGACAATAAAGTTTACATCTGGAGAAAAAGTGACGAAGCATTTAGACCAGAGTGCATTTCACCAATTAAAAACAAGAAACTTTCCGTGATGGTTTGGGGTTGCATAACCTGTCATGGCGTCGGCACATTAACACGTGTGGAGGGAAACATAAATTCAGATAAATATATTCAAATTATAGATGACAATCTATGGCCAGTGATAGCAAGACACTTTCCGGACAATAATAATTATTATGTTTTTCAAGATGATAATGCACCAGTTCATCGTTCTAGGGCAACGAAAACTTTCATGGAAAACAGCCATATCAATACAATGGAGTGGACGGCGCAGAGCCCCGATATTAACATCATAGAAAATTTATGGCTAAAGATTAAAAGAAAAATAGAACAATCCATGCATGAAATAACTTCTGTGGAACAATTATATGATAAAATATTTTCGATTTGGACTCGCTTTGATTGCGTAACAATTCAAAATTTATATCGATCTCTCCCCTAAAGAATGGCCGCGGTACGCAGAGCCAAAGGATACATCACAAAATATTAAGGTGAGTTTTAAAAAATGAGCTTTGTTTTTAAAATCAGAGAAATGCAAAATTGTTTCTTCTTTCAGAAAATGTAATTTATTTTTAGTAGCTTTTACGTAATATGGCTATTTTGAGCATCGAATCAAACGCGAGTATTTTCCAAATATAAAACGGCGACGTAAATCGTTCCGTTACTTTTGTCCACAGTCTGTATTTCTAGTTTTAGTGATTATGATTGCTGATTGAACATTTGTGGCATCTTAAACATTAAAATAGACGGAATGCCTAACCAGTGTAATAATGCATAATCGTTGGATTTTTATGATTTTTAATTATTTTCTTAGTTCTTTTTCCACTTTTGAGTACATCTTTGCATGTGTTTGTTTTGTATTCAGTGATAAGAATTACCTTTTTGTCCAGAAATTGGTAACCAGTAGAACTGTCAGTTCCTCATTGTTTGTAATTTGACTTTTGAACACTTAAAATTTTATAGAATTCACAAATGATTTGTAAATTGACATTTAAAAGATATCTCATCCTGTTTGTAATCTCCATGTATATTTCAAGTCTTACATGTAGTTTAAGTAATCTTTGTTAAATAAATTTTGCTCTTACAACAAGTTTTGTTTTCCAATTTATTTATATTTTTTTAAAATCCTTGTGTTCAAAATAATGTTTCAATATGGTTATTTTAGAAGTCTTGGTTAGCTGTAAAAAAAATGCCACAAGACAATGATGCAATTATAGTTTAAACCAACGACCTTTCTTCATAGTAATTGCCTAAATTGTAATTGAGATCAAGGAAGGAATATTGCCTTGCTGCTGCCTGTCTGTCAGCCCGTGGGTCCATTTAGTTTCCGTTCATTTTCTTAACAAAAACTGCATGTACTTTAGTGAAATTTGGTATACAGATTCTTAAACGAGTATCTAGGTCAAGTTTTGTTTTGGGTACATTTACACCAATTTTTACAAAGTTATGCCCCTTGGAATAGAAATATTCCAATTAGGCTGTTCAAAATTAATTCTACGTTTAACGTCACATCTAAAGTTCAAAACCTAAGAGGGAGGGAGGAAAAAAATAAACAAACAAAATTTTCAAACAATTGTGAATTTATTCATATTAACCTATTCATTACATTTAAAACAGTACAATTAAGTAATAAGAGCTTTTAATTGATATGACACCTAAGATTAATTCCCCTAGCAGAGTTTTTCCTTAGTATGTAAATCAGTTGGAGTCCTATTGTTAGCAAACAATGTAGTCTAAGAGTGAATGTGCAGGAAAGTGGCTTTTAACTAGGCCTCAGTTGTTCTTTGGATTTATATTGCCACACGTCCATGGTACCCTGGAGGCAAATGCTTCTTCTTATGGGAAAAGTTGATCAATATCTACAATTAAATTTTTGATGACAATATTTAAAACTGTTCAATATTTAAAACTGTTGAAATATCTCAAATTGAATTATGTTGTATTTTTTTCTTAGTACTAGACCTACTAGCATTATGTTTTGAAAGTGTGAATACTAATATCTGGACCATACTGATGGCTGTTAGATTATTTTTAATACCTTGAATTCCAAACTAAGGACAGGATTCTTCACGTCTTGGAATACCTCAACTTCTTTCTTACTCTCCTTCACTTGAAAGCCCCTTTATTCAGTAAGCTTCTCCCTGCTCAAATGGTTATGACAAGTATTATCTTTTCCAAAAATTGTAGCTATTTGTAGGTACATGAATTATGAAGAAATCAATTATTTTACTCATTACTGTTCCTTTCGATTTTTACAGAAATATTTTTAATATGAAACATATTAAATAAGATTTGAATGATGCTTTTCACTATATATAAATCTTGGATTTTGACACACTTTCCACTCGGTAAAAAAGTTTTTCGATTCTCTCCAAAATACAATGAAAAGTTCAGCCAATAAAATCACGAACTGAGAGTCTGTCACTGTCAGTTTGAACATGTGATTCGAAGACTGACAAAAAAATCAACAAACTAGACTTTGTCATTAACTTCAATCATAAAATCATCTATTTTTTACTTACATTTATGGTCCCAAACTCTTTAATTCACTAGTTTTCTTTAATAAGACACTAACTGCCTTTATCAAAGCACATTTTCTGTCACTACGGGAGGCAGAATTCAGTCGCTAATTGTAGAACCAAACCGGAACAGACATACGGAATTCCGAATTGTTTGTTTTTTTCAAAGACGAATTTCTCATAAACCTACGCGCGCGGGTGACGTTAAACGTAGTTTTAATTTTAAACAGCCTTATTCACTATTATATTATTTATTATATTATTATATTATTCAAGCCATTCATTTTCTTCACAGAGATAGCACATATTGAAATGAAATTTAATACTAGTATACAGATTTATCAGCTAAATATCTAAGTCAAGTTTTATTTTGGTTTGATTGCATCATTTTTGTCAGAGTTATTCCCCTTGACTTGGAAAAAATCTAATTATTTAGTTTCTGTTGGAATGGACACAAGTTGCACAAACGAGTACAGTTCTCTCCTAAAAGACATTGAACAGCAAATGAAGAGCGAGTCGACTCTCAGGCCCTTCAGGCCTTTGATTTATGTCGTGGTGATAATTTTTAAGTACATGTATTTGGCTTTTATAAAATTTCTTATTGAAAAAATTACAAAAGGTGTGAAACTTATGATGTTTGTAACTTTCATGTTTACTGAGGATAAGTGTGTGCTTTGGTGAAAATATAACGGCATGTAGCTAAGGGTACCATTAAAAAAGTCAACCCAAGAAATCCAAGTATGATATAAAATATTAAAAAAAATGGAAAGCAGTTTTGACATTGCTTTTTGATCAAACCCAGTATTTTATCTTTCGTAAAATAGAATGTTAAATTTATCAATGTTTCAGCCATAATACTTTCAGTTTTTCTATTATTGATTTCAGAATACCAATTTCACTTTTCGAGGTAGTGGCAATATCACAGAGTGTGCAGTGGTCACCCATCAGTTGTTTGACTTTAACCAATCCTGTCCATACAAAACCTGTTCTTTTAATGGAACCTATCAACCACCTGTCTATGGACAGTTCTATGTAAGTCACTAAATCAGGGTGCTGAAACACACTTGAAACTTTCAGAAATCAGTTTCTGTAGCTTCCAATTAAGACATCATAGAAACTTAAGACATTGCAGATAATGCCTAGTTTTTGTGGACTTTTGTGATTGAATCACAATATAATATAAAAAATAAAATGGCAATTATTAAAACCATTTTGAATTGCACAAGACAATGTATTGATATGTTGTTTTTTTTTTGAAACTTTTTATAGTTGCAAGTTATGTAATTATTTTATGGATTTTTAGCTCACCTGAGCCGAAGGCTCAAGTGAGCTTTTCTGATCACATTTTGTCCGTCGTCCGTCCGTCTGTCTGTCCGTCTGTCTGTCCGTCTGTAAACTTTTCACATTTTCGACTTCTTCTCAAAAACCACTGGGCCAATTTTGACCAAACTTGGTACAAAGCATCCTTGGATGAAGGGGAATTTAAATTGTAAAAATGAAGGGACATATCCCCTCGCAAGGGGAGATAATCAAGAAAAGGCAAAAATAGGGTTGGGTCATTAAAAAATCTTCTTCTCAAGAACCACTGGGCCAGAAAAGCTGAAACTTATGTGGAAGCATCCTGGTATAATGTAAATTCTAAATTGTTCAAATCATGACCCCCGGGGGAAGGGCGGGGCCACAATGGGGAATCAAAGTTTTACATAAAAATATATAGGAAAAATCTTTGAAAATCTTCTTCTCAAGAACCACTGGGCCAGAAAAGCTGAAACTTATGTGGAAGCATCCTGGTATAATGTAGATTCTAAATTGTTCAAATCATGACCCCCGGGGGAAGGGCGGGGCCACAATGGGGAATCAAAGTTTTAGATAGAAATATATAAGAAAAATCTTTGAAAATCTTCTTCTCAAGAACCACTGGGCCAGAAAAGCTGGAACTTATGTGGAAGCATCCTGGTACAGTGTAGATTCTAAATTGTTCAGATCATGACCCCCGGGGGAATGGCGGGGCCACAATGGGGAATCAAAGTTTTAGATAGAAATATATAGGAAAAATCTTTGAAAATCTTCTTCTCAAGAACCACTGGGCCAGAAAAAGTGAAGCTTATGTGGAAGCATTCTGGGGTAGTGTAAATTCTAAATTGTAGGAATCATGACCCCCAGGGGAAGGGCGGGGCCATTATAGGGAATCAAAGTTTTACATAGAAATATATAGGAAAAATCTTTGAAAATCTTCTTCTCAGGAACCACTGGGCCAAAAAAGCTGAAACATATGTGCCCATGGAAGGATCATGGGGTAGTGTAGATTTCAAAATGTCTAAATTATGATCAGTGGGGTAGGGTGGGGATGCATTATGTATAACAAGGGGGAAATTTGGTAAAGAACAGAATGGTCAACGCTTCTCAGGTGAGCGATGTGGCCCATGGGCCTCTTGTTTGTGTTTTGCAGGCATTTTCCAATTTTTACTATGAGCTGAGCTTCCTGAATCAGACGGATTCCAACAGCCTGGCAGAATTCCAAACAGCTCTGTCAGATGTCTGTCACATGACCTGGAAACAGGTAGAGTTATCTTTCCTTGAATGTAGGTTCTTTCCAAGATCTAATCATCAATGTGTAGAATATATTTATTCTTTATAAAAACCATTTTTAAAGACTTCCTTTCCACCATTTAAAAATTCAAATTGCTGTTAGGTAAATCTTGATGTGGAATCACTTGACGTTCTCTCTATTATTCATGACATAGATCTTTATCACATGATTTTCTTCTCCCTGCAGTTAAGAGAGAAATACCCGACCACTCTTGTGGACTTTCTACCCTGGTACTGCTTTAGTGGGACTTATATACAGATCTTGCTGACAGAGGCCTACAAGTTTGACAACAGTACTTGGCAGAATCTGCATTTTGTTGATGAGGTTCGGTGAAGTACTAGTCATCTTAGCATTTGTTTCCCCGTGTAACGTTTACCATTGGTCAAAGAAACACTGAGTCGTAGTCAAAGATTTCATTTCAGATGTTTGTATCATAAATAGAAAGACTTGTCAAAAAAATATGGGTGTAGCTGTTTTGAAAAAAATCAACAACACTGTAAAGCAACTAAGAATGCAATATCTTCTTGACAGACCTTTATTTAATACTGTATAATCACCTAATGCTTTTAAGAATTGAAAAAAAAACAAGGTGTGTTTGTGAAACACTATGCGCCCGGTGGCAACACGGTTTGAAAAAGCTAGTTTTAGCATTTAGGTTACAGTCAAGGTCACAAGGTCTTGTGTCTTTGAAAGCACTTAATTAGTGAAGTATGCATACCAAATATAAAGTCTCTATCTCGTATGGTTCAAAAGTTATAGCGAAGGTTCAAAAAATCTATTTTTAGCATATAGGTCACAGTCAAGGTCACAAGGTCATTGTCCTTGGTGTCAGTTGAAAGTGTTTAATTAGGGAAGTATGCATTCCAAATATGAAGTCTATCTCGAACGATTCAAAACTTATGGCGAAGGTTAAAGTTGACAACAAACAGATAAGCAGACAGACAAACAGACAGACAGGACAAAAACAATATATGCCTCGAATAAATTCGGGGCGCATGAGAGTAGCTTGGACCATCCAAAATTTCTGTTTTCTTCAGGTCTCTGTAAAGCTATAATATTCAAATCACAAACAGATTTACTCAAAAAGGACAATTGATTATCTAGATAAAGTTTTGCTAAGCTTCAGAGAGACCTGAAGAAAACTGAAATTTTGGATGGTCCAAGCTATTTTTTTTTCAATTCTTAAAAGCATTAGGTGTCATAAAATAACAAGCTTTAGAAGAATCTTTTGAAAATCAAATATGTAAATAATCTATTTTTCTTGTTTAAGCAAATTCCATATCTGTTGTGATTTAAATACTGTACAGCAGGAAACGTGGAGTTAATATTCGCTATATTCGCAGAAAAAGAAATTACACGAATTCAACATACAGTTAATAATTCTTTAAAAGATTTATAATGATCAATTGAAATTATACTGTTAAGTGTGATTAGATTCTTTAAATCTATTTATGTTTCCATACAAACACAAAGGCAGTAATAAATATATATCCGAGATGTAGACTGTCTTTATAATTATGCTGGAGTATGGATGCAATTACTATCGCATAGTTGATGTTTTTAAAGCTTATTAATTATCTAAATTAATTTCTATAGCTATTAATTTTGCCATCTAGTAGACGTGCGATACAATTATTTAATAAAACATGCTTGTTTGATTTCACCTGTGCGTATCACTCAGTCATTACATTTAATCAAGGCACTTGTAACGTAGTATTTAAGGTAAAGACAGTTAATTAATTTCAATTATATGATTCAAAATTTTAACTACGGTATAATTTTTTTTAGCTCTACTGGTCAGAGACCAGAAGAGCTTATGCGATAGTAAGGTGTCCATCGTCCGTCCGTCTGTCTGTCCGTCGGTCTGTAAACAATTTTTCAAAATGCTACTCCTCGTACAGTTTTGGTCTGATTTTAATATAACTTGGCACACAAGTAAACTATACTAAGACACATAATACAGTGCATCGGTTTTTGATTTCGATGAACGGTGTTGCCATGGTTACTAAAAATAGAATTTTCTGTGAAATTCCTTTAATATGCTACTCCTTCTACAGTTTTGGTCTGATTTAAATATTACTTGGCACACAAGTAGATTTCACTAAGACACATAAAATAGTGCATCGGTTTTCGATTTCGATGAACATTGTTGCCATTGTTACTAAAAATAGAAATGTCTGTGAAATTCCTTTAAAATGCTACTCCTTCTACAGTTTTGGTCTGATGGCAATGGCTTCTTTTCTCATCCTTTGTTATAAGTACAAACCAGTAGAGCTACAGTCTCGACAGAGACTTCTGGTTTCTAAGTTAGACTCAGAAATTAAAAAAAAAATCTGCGTAACATTGTTTTGACTTCAAAACGGGATCAGTCCTGTGTTTCGTTATAACAACACAATATGGACTTGACTTTCCTGTCTGATATGCGCGATATGCATGTACAGACTTTGGTAAGATAGAGACAGGAAATATCAGTCTACATAATATATACCTAAAGAAAAATGCTTGCAAGTACTGATAAAAAAATGTCTGACTTTTCCTTTCCGTGAATTTAAACAACCGCAATTTGCTGAAAATTTAAGAAACCACGATCTTTTTTGACAGCGATTTTAACCTGCTATACAGTATTATGATCATGAAATTACAAAATGACAATAAATAAGCAAGATTTCCATTTGTAAGCTGAATAGAACAAAGAGATTATGTGTGTTTTCACATTAATTTACTGACAGCTGAAAGGAACAAGACTTTTGTACAATGATAATACAGAACTTTATTGGTTTTCATCTCTATGTTGTACCATGTTGGTTTGATGTAATTATTTTTTTTTACAGCTGAAAAGTACAGAGATTGGATGGAGTCTGGGCTTTATGATTGACTCCAGCTCCGATTTACCAACCACGAAGAGGGAGTACTACATGACAAACCTGGCCTTCGCTCTAATGATGACCCTCTTCATCCTCTTCATCCTCATCTCAGTGGGCTTTGCTTGTCACGCCGTCAAATTCCACCGCCAGAAGCAGAGGGGGCTAATCTACCAACCAGCCCCCAAAACAGACAATTACGGAGCAATACAATGAAATAGCAAGCATTAACAATAAGATGGATGTATGTGATTAAAGACAGTGTGAATTAGATGGTTTTTGAGTTGATGACAATTGTGCTTTTACCCGGTATGTTTAACAATAAATGTGTATATGTGTGTGCTTATGTCTGTTTGTGTGTGTGCATACATGTGAGTGGTATAAGTTGCATTCTTACAATAGATTTTCTGTGATATTAACATATACATGCATTTTTCAATCTCATTAGTGGAGTTGGATTTATATTTTCTGTTTTTTTTTGTGTGTGATAAAATACAGATTTATCTTGAATGGGACACAAATGGATCAAGGACCTGAAATAAAGCATTCGAAATTATTTGTGGAGCTTTCAGTATTTTGAATATAAATTAGTTTTCTTCATACAGGATGACAATCTGATAAAAATCAAATCCTTTGATCCACTCACATATATTGAGTAGCGATCTAAGTGAGGGGATCAAAGGATCTGATTGTAATCAGATTGTACTATATGGTTTTGTATTGCACATTTTCCTTGTCGGACACTATTTATTGCTATTCAGTTAAATTAAGAAAATCCCTTGCCTACCATAATCTATATTGTATCTTAATGCAATCTACCATTTATGAAAAATATAAATAACTGAACAATTTGAGAAAACTCTTATACACTAAGAGTTTAATTGCTCTTTCATCAAGCAAGCCTTTGGGGATAAGTTTCTGTTGTGGGTTTGACAAAAGAGTTATTTCCCACTCACAGTCAGTGGATAAGTATATCCATGTGCTATATTAACTTAAACCATAGGCCACATTTTCCCCTTTGTAATATCTATTGTGGCCCCGCCCTACCCAGAGGGGACATGTTTGAATCAATTTAGAATCTACACTAACCAAGTATGCTTCAATGTAAAACTTGGATTCCCTATTTTGGCTCCACCCTACACCCAGGTGTCATGATTCAATCAATTTAGAATCTGCACTACCCCAGCATGCTTCCACATAAATTTCAGCTTTTATAGCCCAATGGTTCTTGAAAAGAAGATTTTGAAAGAGATCTCCTATATATTTCAATGTAAAACTTGGCTTCCCTATTTTGCCGTGACTTACCCCGGGGGTCAAGATTTGAACAATTTAGAATCTTTATTACCCCAGGATGCTTCCCTATTGTGGCCCTCAGGGGTTATGATTCGAACAATTTAGAATCTACACTACCCAGGATGCTTCCAGATAAATTTCAGGATTTTTGGCCAAGTGGTTCATGAGAAGATTATTGAAGAATTTTCCTATATATTTCAATGTAAAAAATTAATTTCCTATTGTGGCCCCATCCTACTCCCATGGGTCATGATTTGAACAATTTTGAATCTACAGAACCCCAGGATGCTTCCACGTAAGTTTCAGCTTTTCTGGCTCAGTTGTTCTTGAGTAGAAGATTTTTTTATGACCCCACCCTATTTTTGTCTTTTCTTGATTATCTCCCCTTGTAACTAAACATGGTCCTTCATTTTAAAAATTTAAAGTCCCCTTCACTCAAGAATGCTTTGTATTAAGTTTGGTCAAAATTGACCCAGTGGTTCTCGAGGAGAAGTTGAAAATGTGAAAACTTTACAGACGGACGGACGACGAACATTGGGTAATCAGAAAAAAACTCACTTGTGCTTTCAGCTCAAGTAAGCTAAAAACCCGAGAATAAAAAAAAAATGCAAATTGTAAAACGTCATTGAACGCACTTTTCTTTCAACTGACAGTTACCATAGTTTAAAAATAGATATTTTTTGTCGGATGAATGAAATTTCAGAACAACTGAGTTTATTGGTCTGCAGAGATGACTACAAACGGTTATGTGGTGCATAAAAGTACAGGATGGTTAAAGAATGTGTCTAGGATGAGAAATGAAGGTGGTTTCTTGACCAATGCTGGAAAATGGAGAAATTCTTTCAAACATATTCTGCAGCTAAAATACGCTTGAGTTTCTGTTTGACAATATTTCTATTGTTTTAGAGGTTAGGTCATAGAACAACCTGTCGAAATGCCCATGGGTATTTTTTGTATTCATAAGAAGTAAAATTTACTAACAACAATGGTTCGTGTTTAATTGCTCTGCTCCGTATATGTTTAATTCTTTTTTGTACACGAATTACCGGTTAGTACCTCCATATTACATCGTGCAGTACTTATGAAGTTTCTGTTGTTAATATTTTAGTACGGAATAAAGAGGCTTGGTAGAATATTAACTGGAACCCACTGCTTCAAATTCCCTGCTGACAAAGCAGGTAACAACATTGTTTTTGTTTGTAAGGCTCATTATATAAATTGTATTTTAGAAGAACTTGGATTTAAGGATAAATAACACAAACAAACTTTTTTCAGAAATCAGCATTATTTTTCATGGATTTACATTTAAATTGACAACCTGAATAATGTTTACGAAATAGAGTGGGAGAATTATATAAGATTTTGTCATAAGGTTAAAAAATTGTACAAAATTTTGTATGGAATTACATAGAAGGCAAAACAAAATCTCATATCTAAGCACCAAGGAAAACCTACGATGTCTTTATATTTCAGGGATTTATTATTTATGTCATTTGAAATCAAAATCAGTCAAAAAATATATATCAACCCGCGCATCCATTTTTTGTTTGTGGTAAGTACCCTTAACTCTACAGGTGGTAATCCAACCAGTGGCGTAGCATCGTTTTTGAAAGTGGGGGGGGGGGGGGGGGGGGGGGGGGGGGCAGCCAAAGAGAAAAAAAAGGAAAAAGTTGCCTAAAGTCGAAAATCCTACTTTGGGGGGGGGATACTACATTTTCGGTACATCACTAAAAGTGGGGGGGGGGGGGGGGCAACCAGGCTTTCAATTAACATTTCGTATAGTATAAGTAAGGTTGGGAAAAAAAGTGGGGGGTGGGGCCCGGCCCCCCCCCCCCCCCCCCCCCCCGGTTGCTATGCCCCTGCCAACTTATACTCATAGATCCCTTTCTAAGGAAGAAATTCTTCAAAATCATATGTCAGTTTTGAATATTTTTGATATCCCGAAGACCCAAACTGAATTTGAACTACCATATATATTGGATTCCGAAACTTCATAAGAATCCTTACAAACAAAGATACATTGCACGGGTTCCAGTAAATGTTCAACCAAGCCTCTTTCTTTACTCCTCACTGACATATTGACAGTAGTGAAGGAAACACTTCAAGAGTATTTTGCAAAAATATATTCAAGAAGTGGTGTGAATTACATGTGGATACTCAAAATTTCCAAAGAACTTTTGGACAATTTGAAATCAAAAGATTTTACCAAAATCAACAGCTTAAAAACTTACGACTACTCAACTTTATACACAACCATTCCCCACGATAAATTAAGTCCAGGCTTTTTGATATCATTGAAAGCTGCTTTTTCAATAAAAATGGAACTCGTAAATTTACTTACCTCGTCATTGGTCATTCGCAAAATTATTTTGTTAAAACACACGGCGGGTGTGACCGGTCGGTAGAGGATACTCACTCCTCCATGGCACCTGGAAACACGGACCTCCAAAACATCAGACGTGGGATCAGGTGCAATGTAGGAGTGCGCATCCCCTGCCGACCGGTCACACCCGCCATGTGCTCCTAGTCATGATCGGGAAATAACGGAAAAATATGTCGTCAATATTCAGTGTATAAATAATGGACTAACAATTAGTATGAAAAACGTCAGTCAGCATTTGACTCAATGATTAATTGTATTTGCTGACAAGGTCATTGTATCGACCAAAGAACTTACGAAATGATGACTTTAAACGAGACTGCTGGTATTCTTGTTTCATCAACTTGTTTGTCAATAATTTACCTCGTTTTAGAAATTATTCATACATAGAGCATGCTCTTGCGTATCGAATCAACTAAGATCTATAACTCCATATGCAGGTTACGAAGGAATATTATACGAGGATTGTCCCGTAAAATCGTGGACAAGTTGTCTAGTGTGAAAAATAAACATCACTGCGTTCTGAAATTTTCACTATTATTTAGTACATATTTTAGTAATATACACAGCAAATTTCAGATAAATAGATGCATAAATAAACAAATTATGAGATTTTATACCATGTATTGTAACACCTTACGGCGCATGGATTATAACGTCAAAGTGTCTAAAACAGCGTCACGTTTTATCTTTGCTGAAAATGAAGTTGGATGAGCCCGACATAGATTTAGGAATTTCATTGATACACATTCTTTCGTCTCCATAAAAAGCCGAAGAAGCAATTGGCACCCTCATGTGATCTTCTGAAGATTTATTAGTAAATTAGGACAATATTCTCACCATCATTTAACTAATAGAAAATCTCATATAGGCGGTCTACTATGACAGCGTCCTTTGTTATTACATGAGAAGTTTGTCCGTATGTTCTGTACTCCCCAGGGACACGATCAGAAAAAAAACTTCGCTAAGAAAACTCCTATTTCATTTGTATACTTGAGATATGGTGATATTTTTATAATTTTTTTTTCTTCTATGGTCATTTCAAGTCTCTAAAGGTGTCATTACAACATAGAAATAAAACGAACTGTTCTCCGATGCGCCGTAACGTCATAAAACGTCGCCATTTTTCGTGTGTTGTGTTTACCACTTTCTAATTTCGAATGCTCGAGAAACTGCCAAAAATTAAGCAAATACCTTAAGATTTTTACAAAGACTACAAAATTGATGGTGAAATTGAATTAGGATAATTTTAATCCAAATCTTATATATTTAAAATTTTTATTTTGAATTCAAACTTGTGTATTCTTTAATAAACCCTTGGTTTTTTGACCGTGCGCCGTAGGACAATACCTAGTGCACATTCAAGCATAATAAAATCTTTATTTTTGCCTATATTTTATCAAAAAAATTATCATGCACTTAAATATGATAAACATTCACTGAAATTTTCAGTTTAGTGCGCCCATTACTTTTTGAGAAAAACGCTTTGTCCACGATTTTACGGGACAACCCTCGTATATAAGTAAGGAAAGTTGACAACTGAAAAGTTAAAGTTATCACGTTTATCATAAACTGGGTTGTTAGAAAACCATTAACGTCTTTTTCTAGTAAAATATCCAAATATGAAGTAGATGTGCAAGACTATGTGGTATCTTAATTTTAATTCAAGCTAACGGGGATATATCATGTCGATATAAAGATGGAAATACATGTAACTATAATTTTAAATTAATAAAACAACAAGCGTTTTCTTCCTGTCACGTAAAAGATTTTGAACAAATTCTGCTTCATTTGAATACAAAAATAGGTGTGCTAATAATTGGGGTATCCAAAGGAATTCCAAAAGATTGTTGGAAAACCTGGTATCTAAAAACCACATAGATAT